CGCTCTTCCAGGGTGGAACAGCTCAATTCTTCATAGCTCAATTCCCGATTTCTCTCTGTTTCAGTTTTGTTCTGTAAATACGAAGCCCTCCTCTTGGTAATAAAATCTGCTAAAAGATGATCAAATTCGTGTTTTTTCTTTATCCATTAAATCACATGAATACAAAAGCTCATGAATTGATAGATTTGTAACATCAGATACTGAAACTCAACAATAGGGTAAACCGCCCAAACTACACAACACAACCAAAAACATCATTGGGAAGTTAAATTGCCGCCACTCTGTTGCCAGAGATTGATGATATCAGTAGCTTGGTTGAGGAGGATGATCATCTTCTTCTGAGAGATCCAGGGTTTGCTCTCGAGAGTGGATTTGAGCTCTTCCCAGGCATCTTTCCTCGGCCAGAAGAAGTAAGGGCTGAGAGGGATTGTGCCATGGCCAGGCACCACTTGATCCAATGCTAACCCAATGTTCTTCTCCATCCATATGAACTTCAGCACCAGCCTCGGCTTCTCCTCTTGGTTTACCACCACTTTGATCACTTCCTATCATCAGAACCCATCATTCAAATCCATTAAAGGGACTTAGAAACTCATAATCTTTGGTGGGTTTCTGCCACTAGAAGTGAAGAATAAGGATCAAACCGTAAATGGGTTCCTTTCTTTTTAACTACCTGTGTTGTTAGTGTAGAGTCTGAATCGCCATTGACAGCGTCCGGTTCAGCTGTGAGTGTCTCCGGAGAAGCTAAAGCTACAAATTTTCGGTTTACGGAAATGGGTTTGGTTTTCTTCTGGTGATGGAAAATCTGGGGAGTGACGAGATTGTTAGATGTCTGAAACATGGTCGTTGGTCTGAAACTGGGTTTCTGAGAGAGAAAGGAAGCGTTAGGGAGACAGGATTGGACCGCCATTGATGACAGCATCTTCTAACTTCACAGAAGACAGAGGAAGAAGCAATGGTGGTTCTTTGTGAATGGATAAGGTTATGTGGTTGAAGCTCCGAAGTTCGAAGTGACTTTGGTAATGATTGTTTATGGGCTTTAATTTAGTGGGCCTAATGTGGAAATCAAGAAGTGGGCCGTCGGCCCGTAATTTTTGAGCCCAATAGATATTGCATTTGTTTTTTTTAGAAAAAAAAACATTTTTACAAAAAATAATTATTATTAGATTATTGTGAAAAAATATTGTATAATATATGGAGATATACGAGGGAAATGATATGGCCATCAAGTCACATTGTACACATGATCTTCCCTCAACCGTCTAACCGCTATATTTAATTGGGATTTGAGCGTTTGAGCTATATTTTAATTTGGGTTTTATAAATTATTTATAAAATGGAGATACATTCCTTTTTACAAAAAAAAAAAAAGAAATAAAAAGATTTGGCTATATATACAAAAAAATAATAAAAAAATTTAAGATAAAATGTTCCATTTTCTATATAAAATTATCTTACTTGTTAATATGACATACTCCTCACTAATTAATTAAATTAACCCTTAATTTATGCATAGGATCCTATATACATATATATATATATATATATTGCATAAATATCCGTGGATGCCCTGCGGGACACAAAATAAATTATACATAATATAAAATTAGTGTATCTGTAGCTGCAATAATAAACATGACAAGTAATTAATAGTATTATTTAAAGGAAATCACATGTTCAAATAGATAACCGATCAGATCAGATCCATGTACCTAATAGCTTATCAAATTACTATTTTTTTAAAATGGAATTGTTTGAATTAATTTAATTCAAACAATTCCAAGATTCGCTGTTTAATCTAATATAGTTTTTTTTAATATCATAATCTAATTTATTTTATTTATTACCAACGTTTGATGTGGTAAACCCAAATGTTAAATCTAAAATATAATAAAAAATCAGAAAAATACAGGAAAAGTCTGTCGACCAATCGTTTATAATTGGCCTTTAATTTAATTATTTTATTCATCTCGCAAGCTCTTGCATCTTGTTCTTGTCTCATTGCCTTAAACCACACAAAATGACAATGGCCCTTTTTAATTTCCCGACCGTTGTGTCGGGACACTTTTAAAACGCTGTCGTTTCATGAGTTTTGTTCACTGTTCATCATATGAGCGCGCGCGTATTAAATCCAGCCTCCCTATTGGTCCATGCATTCTCATTTTAAGAATAGTTGGCGTTTTATATAATTCTTTTTTAATTTTTGGGGTCGAATATTACATAATTTTTTTTTTTATCACAAAATTAAGATACATATACGTTAAGTATTGAACATTATAATCTGATATATATATATATATATATTTTAAAATATTGCCCTATACCTAAGAAACAAATAAAATATTAGACAACGAGAATCTGGGAAGGTTGTTTTCGTGCTTTAATGGAAAGAAATAATTGATATGAACAACACGGGAATTTTTCAGAAAATAAAACACGGAAATAAATTAAAAGTCTCAAATTATATTAAAATTTCCCAACAGTTCCTCATATATATATGTAAGGACAAGAATCCTTCGGTTCTCTCAGTTGGGGAAATCGCAGAAATGGCCGGCGAATTGGGTGCGTTCCGACAGAATTTCCCGGAGCCCAGCAGAGAGAGGCTCCTCCCGCATAAAGGGTTCTCCGATTTCGGCCTCAACGACGCCGGGAGAGTCTCCGCCGGTTCCGATGGCCGCCGATCAAAGTTCCGGTGCTTCCGATTGTGCTCTGACGGGGTCACCAGCTCGTGGAAGGCCCTCCACGACGTCGCCGTGAAATTGTACGAGATGGGTCGTTCCGATCGCCGGAAAGTTTTCTTCGCCGTGAAGATGGGATTCGCTCTCGCCCTCTGCTCCCTCGTCATCTTCCTCAAGGAGCCGCTCCAGGAGGCGAACCAGTACGCCGTCTGGTCGATCCTCACGGTCGTCGTGGTTTTCGAGTACAGCGTAGGTATTGATTTCGGATCTCCCGCGTAATCGTTGAAATTCGATTCGATTTCAGGGTTTGTTTTTATTTGATTCATGGCTTTGGGTTTCGAACTCAGATACTCTTGTGTAAATCGATTTCGTTGGTTGATTTTGATGCCGTTCATGATGAATTCCCCTATGTGTTTTTCAGACAGACATTTCCTGTTTGATTCTCCTCTTTCTCTTTTGAATTTCGACATTTTTTTTCCTGATCTGCTGTGGTTGATTTCCATATGATTGTTTGTTTTCAGGTTTGGACGGATTCCTTCTTTACTTTCTTAGCTTCTGCGTGAATTTGCTACCGAATTCAACCTTTATCTCAGATCGATTTTCTGATTTGATAAGGTCTTCATGTTGAGATCTTCCCAAAGATTTGATCTTTTTTTGATTGATCTGTTTAAATTTGGCGTTTTAGGAGCAACTTTGGTTAAAGGATTCAATAGAGCCATAGGCACATTCTCTGCCGGAGGACTCGCACTCGGCATTGCCAGACTCTCTGTCTTAGCCGGAGAGTTTGAAGAAGTCATTATCATAATCAGTATCTTCCTTGCAGGTTTGATTCATGTCCTTATACATATACACACACACACACACTGATATTTTCTCACAATCTTTGTATCTCCGCTTCCCATGAACGTGTCTGTCTTGTTCTCGATCAGGTTCCTGTGCAAGTTATCTGAAACTCTACCCGACCATGAAGTCGTTTGAATATGCCTTCAGGGTGTTTCTGCTGACATTCTGCATCGTTCTGGTCTCGGGGAACAACAGCAGAGCTTTCTTCAGCACCGCGTATTACAGGCTGCTGCTTATCTTGGTTGGTGCTAGTATATGTCTGGTTGTGAATATATTTATATTCCCGATCTGGTCTGGGGAGGATCTCCATAAGCTGGTTGTTAAGAATTTCAAGAACGTGGCAAATTCCCTCGAAGGTAAGGGGCATTCGTTCTTCGATCGAACTTGGATTTTAGGATGTGGTTAATGTCTTATGATTGAAGCTTTGTGTTGTTTTTCTCGATTTCTGAAATTTAGGATGTGTTAATGGGTACTTGCAATGTGTCGAATACGAGAGGGTGCCTTCAAAGATTCTCACGTACCAAGCTTCTGATGATCCGTTATACAGTGGATACAGGTCGACGGTCCAATCTACAAGCCAAGAAGATTCTCTGGTGCGTCTACATTGTGGCGATTTGTCGAAGGATTTCATTCGATAAGCTAAAAAAGAATCTGGGATATTTATAACCGAAGATCCATCTCCTTTTGCAGCTCGATTTTGCAGGGTGGGAACCTCCGCATGGGCCTTACCGAACATTTCACCATCCGTGGAAAAACTATGTCAAAGTTAGCGGCTCATTAAGGCATTGTGCTTTTATGGTCATGGCAATGCATGGATGCATACTTTCAGAAATTCAGGTTAGTCGCAGCGTGATTTCCATGCTCGGTTTCTGCTTTTTCTTAATGTTTACTGTCATCATTCTGGGAGTGATGTGGCTGCATTATAGATACTTGCACATTTAGATGCTCTAAAGGGACAAAAAAAATCGGACAGCATCTTCCACTCAGATGCCCATGAAAAGAGGCATACATTCCTGTTTTCGATCTAGAGAGCAATGTCAGATTTAGATGTTTCGGCTGTTTAGCATGAGATGGAAATATGGTTTATGGAATTAACGGATTAGAACTCGGGAAAAATCAGATTCGGGTGTGGGGGGTTGATAGATATTACACATTAATATACATTTTTCACCTAATTGAAGGAGTACCCTCTTGGATTTCTTGTTTGTGGAACATAACATTGCTGATTTCTTTGACTAATTCCTCTTGCATGGATGATATAAAGAATTTCCGGTCATTATTACAGGCGGCTCCAGAGAAAAGACAGGCATTCCGGCGCGAGCTTCAGAAGGTTGGCAACGAAGGGGCGAAAGTTCTTCGTGCCCTCGGAGAGAAGATGGAAAAAATGGAGAGGCTTAACCCTAGAAACATCCTGAACGAAGTCCAACGAGCTGCCGAGGAACTGCAGATGAAAATAGACAGAAAATCCCACCTTCTGGTCAACTCGGAAAGCTGGGCAGCCATTAAAGAGCAGGCAAGGGAAGAAGCACAAGAAAACTATTACGAAGCCAAAGACGACGAGACCAAAGTGATCAAATCTCTCAGCCAGATTTGGGACAACAGTCAGAACCTGACAACAGCAACAACTGGTAATGAATCTCAGGTGTTGATTTCGACAGACAGTATGATGCTTAGGAACAGAGAACAATGGCCGAGCGTCTCGTTCATCGGCGGTTCGATGGTTAATGAGATTGAATGCAAAGTGTATGAGAGCGCAAGCTCTCTCTCTCTGGCTACGTTTGCTTCCCTTCTGATAGAATTTGTCGCAAGGCTTCAGAATCTTGTGAATGCTTATGAGGAGCTGAGTGATAAAGCCAGTTTCAGAGAACCAGTTCCTGTTGACCAGACAAAGGGTAACTTAGATTCTGTCGGATTCTGGACCAGACTCTGGAGATGTTTCAGTTCTGGTGGCTGATTTATTAGCAGAAGAAGCTGAATCTCAACATGAGGTTGGGTTTTTTATAAGTTGCTGTTGCATTTATAATTTATTGTTGGGTTCATATTTATGGGTTTTTATTTTATTTAAAAAAAGCTGAAATGTATTGATATGTTTTGGTTGTAATAAGTTTCCCCCGATTCTTTTTTGGCAAGAGACATGAGAGACAAATGCTGCCTGCCCTTTGGGACAAACCCTTGCAAAAAATAAAATTAAATAAATAAATTCAACTTTGAGATTAATTTTCTCAGATCTTTATCTGTAAGTTCTAAACAGATATAAGGGGCGTGTGTGTATATATACACCATTTTTGTATTATTTCATAATTTCCCCCACAAAAACATGAACACTCCAAAAGTAAATAAATTTCTGCATATATATATATATATATATATTCCTTTGGTGAAAAATTGATTCTTTTTTCTCCCCAGAGAAGAAAAATCGCAGGGGTAACAAATATGCAGAAAAATAAAATAAAATAAATAATAGGTCTAGTGGGCGCATACTTAACAAAGCCCAAATAAAAGCCCAATATTAGAACTCAATGAGAAAAACTAAGCATAAGCCCAAATAAGAATCTAATTTCTACACCCAATCTGTTATGGGTCGGAGATATGGGTGGGCTTCGGGAATCTAATTTCGGACTGTACCGAACCGATTAATTCGGGAACGGTTCGATTTTGTATTATATAAAAATATCGGACGGTACAAGATTTAAGATATCGAATGGTTCAGAAACGGTTCGGTTCGATTCGGAAAATACCGAACGATATTTTGATATTTTTATTTTTTAATTAAAAAATATTTAATATTAATAATTAATTATGATAATTACTAAATATTAATAATTTGTTTATGTCATGTATTTGGATTTTTGTTTATTTTATTTATTAATAATAATTAATAGTGATATTTATTTTGTTTAGCATTAGCAAAGTTCAATAAATTATTTATTTTAATTAACTTTGATTATATTTAATAATAAATTGTCTATATTTTACTTTAGAAATATTTTATTTTTATCTTTTTTTATTTATATTTTTTTTTTCTTTTTTTTACCTCTTTTTATTTATATTTTTTTTTCTTTTTTTATATGGCAGACACTTTATTTTTGTTGATAAAAAATGATTAATTTCTGCACATATAATATGATTTTTAAAAATTAATTTAAAGTTTTGAACGTATAAAAAATTTCAAAATTATTATGTTAAATTTCTTTAGGTTACATCAAGCTCAAAACTTTTATTTTATTGTCTAAAATTATTATATTAGATTTCTTTATTTTTATACTTTATGAATTATAAATATATTATGAACCGTCCCGAACCGTTTCGAACCGTTTTTACTTCGGTTCTTATTTGGTACTTATTTATTAGTACGTTTCGTTCTGAGCCGTCATAATACCGAATCGAACCGAAAATAATAATATACGATACTAATTTGGTATAAATTTTATAATATTAAATAAACCGTTCCAGAACCGAACCGTTAAAATTTCGAACCGAATTCCGAAACATATCAATCCTCTAATTACATTTTTTTTTATTTTTTTTAAATAAAAAAAAATATTCCGCCCTCTCTCATTCTCTCTCTCTCTCTCCTTTCTATTTCTTTTCTTTTTTTAACCTTTGGGAAATTAGAGAGAGAACATTTTTCACCCTTCTCTCGCTTCATTGCTCGCTTTTCGTCTCTTCTCCTTCTCGCTTCCCGGAATCTGACGCAGTTATCGCAAGGCTCCGAGATCGGTAAGAAGACTTCATGTTTCTCATCTCTCAGACGATCTCAATCTCACTGGTTCGTGTTCGAATCACATTCCGCGATTTTCTTCGACCGGCTGAATCCGGACGCATCTCGAGTTTCTCGCCTTTTTTTTTCCTGTTTGGTTACCGAGTAATGGCCATGGATTCGTTCTGATTTTTGTATTAGTTCCGTTGAAGCAGGGGAAATTTGAGTGGAACCTAGATGTTGGTTTTCTAACACTCGAGTGGCTGTAGTTTTCCTAGATCTGTGATGATTTCGGATTTATTTTTCGTGATTCCATCCCTTTATTAGTGATTCGAGGGTAAAATTTTGCATCTACTTTGCTTCGAGATCCGAAAGGGATCCCCTTGTTGAATATTAAATCTCATCTGATGGCTCGAACTTTTGCTTCTTGATTTCTATTGCGACGATTTCTGATCTGGAAATTTGCCCTGATTGGCTGTAGTTGCTTTCCATGTTTTCAGTTCTCATGCGAAAAATTTTGGGTGTTTCCATTTGCAGTTCATTTTCAAGAGTCAGTGAAGGTTCACGTAGGGTGGAAACAACATGTCTGCAGTGGATGAACCGTTATATCCAATTGCTGTGCTCATAGATGAACTTAAGAATGATGATATCCAGCTCCGGCTGAACTCGATCCGTCGGTTATCAACTATAGCACGTGCCCTCGGAGAGGACCGCACCCGGAAGGAATTGATCCCATTCCTGAGCGAGAATAGTGACGATGACGATGAAGTGCTCCTTGCAATGGCGGAGGAGTTGGGAGTGTTTATCCCTTATGTTGGAGGAATTGAACATGCCTATGTTCTTCTCCCTCCCCTAGAGGCTCTCTGCACGGTCGAGGAGACCTGCGTGAGAGAAAAAGCTGTAGAGTCGCTTTGCAGGATCGGCTCTCAAATGAGAGAAAGTGATCTAGTTGAATCTTTTGTCCCTCTCGTGAAGGTTGGATGATGATACTGCATTTTCGATGATACCCATCTGGTTTGGTTATCTTCGCTGTTTTTCAGTTCTCCTTTTTCTGTATTTTTCAGAGACTTTCTGCTGGGGAATGGTTTGCAGCTAGGGTTTCTGCATGTGGTTTGTTCCATGTCGCCTACCCAACTTCTACTGATGCGCTGAAGGCAGAGTTGCGGTCTACTTATAGCCAGTTGTGCCAAGATGACATGCCAATGGTGCGAAGAGCTGCTGCATCCAACTTGGGGAAGTTTGCTGCCACTGTAGAGGCAACCCACTTGAAGGCTGAGATCATGACCATGTTTGATGATCTTACTAAAGATGGTAACCTATATGCCTTGACTTATGTCTTGTCTTATTGTCATATGTCATGCCCAATTTCCTTGAGAACTTGAGAAATTGTGTTTCCATTCTGAAAAATATGTAATCATTTCCATTCTGAACTTGAGGCAAACTTAGTCATATGCACTCATCGTTTAGAAATGCTGAACACGGAACTTCGGAGTGTAGTGTCTTTTATCATGTTTGGATAATGCCAGGAAATGGTTATATGCTTATCCATTTGGGAAATGTTGGTCATCTACTATCATTTGATTAAACCGTGAACCTTCATTTTAGATCAAGATTCTGTTAGACTGCTGGCTGTGGAAGGCTGTGCATCCCTTGGAAAGTTGTTGGAGCCAAATGATTGCGTTGCACGCATTTTACCGGTTATCATTGATTTCTCTCAGGTGAGTTAATACTTCGCTTCATCATTCCCGGACATTTTCAAAGTATCTGTTGCCTTTATTGTCAACTGGGCAAGTTCAGGTTTGATCATTTTCAACTCATATAATTGTTTCCGTGGATTAGGATAAATCTTGGAGGGTACGCTACATGGTCGCTAATCAGTTATATGAACTTTGTGAGGCTGTTGGTCCAGACAGCACAAGGTACGGATATTTTCTGAAGCTTTTTATCTTCTCTACTGAGTCTATGCTTTGTTTATATGCTTTAGGAATTGTGTATGTCTCTTATTAAATGTCTTTTTAACAATTAAGTATACATACATTCAGGATTGTTTCATGCTGAATATTTATATATTCTATCATGCAGACATGCATATAGGTGTACATATATATGTATATAGCTTTTTTGTTTTTTTCTGCTGGAATGTTCTGTCACAATATTGCCAGGACGGATCTGGTCCCTGCTTACGTGAGATTGCTACGTGACAATGAGGCTGAAGTACGGATAGCAGCTGCTGGTAAAGTTACCAAGTTTTGCAGGCTATTGAGTCCAGAGATTTCTATTCAGCACATCCTTCCTTGCGTGAAGGTAAATTCCATCACAGGATAAAGTTCCATGATTTAAGATAAAATGTGTTTTCTTCATGTAATGATTTTATTGCAACTCATATCTTGCAGGAATTATCGACAGATTCCTCTCAGCATGTCCGCTCTGCTCTAGCTTCGGTAATAATGGGGATGGCCCCAATCTTGGGGAAGGTAAGAATGATGATATGATAAGACATTTTTGTCTCTTGCTACTGTTTCCAAATATTCAATCCGCTTCATTGTTTTCATTGACAAAATCGTAATGAAATCAGTTGCCTACTCACTTAGTATTAGATACATGTTTCATGATTTTTTCTTTTTATATGCTGGTGTCCTGCTTGTGGGAATTGGCATTGCAAACCTTTGTATATGCCATGTACCTTTTTTTTGAAATTTTAACTTTTTTCAAATTCTCCCAATTCAGGACTCAACCATTGAGCATCTTCTTCCTATTTTTCTTTCCCTTCTGAAAGACGAATTCCCTGATGTACGCCTCAACATCATCAGCAAGCTCGATCAAGTCAATCAGGTTTGTTGCATTACTTAGGCTAAGTAAGGCTTACACGTTCTTAAAAGTAGGACATTTTCATATGTGTAATTGGATCTCGTTTCACTTCCTTAAAACCGATACCCTGATTACCATATCTTACAGGTTATCGGAATTGATCTACTGTCACAATCATTGTTGCCCGCCATTGTTGAACTTGCTGAGGATAGGCACTGGAGGGTTCGGCTTGCGATAATAGAGTATATACCCTTGTTGGCCAGCCAGTTAGGTGTAGGGTTTTTCGACGATAAACTTGGAGCCCTTTGCATGCAATGGCTCCAGGACAAGGTTTTTTTCCCAACTTCAGCTTTGAAAGAAGATATTTTCTTATTCAAGTGTTATTTTTTTTAATGTTAACGTTTGAACACCTCCTTCAGGTTTACTCTATTCGGGAAGCTGCAGCCAACAACCTGAAACGCCTCGCTGAGGAGTTTGGGCCCGAATGGGCAATGCAGCACATAGTTCCTCAGGTTTCTTTTTTTTTCTTTGAGAGAAGAGTAATTAAAGTTTGTTTCATCTTGAAATTCCCATGTAAAAGCTTTGGATTAGGGATCTAATTATCTCCCATATATGTGTGTGTATACATATATATGTATCGTCCCCTGCAGGTATTGGAGATGGTCGCTAATTCACACTATTTACATCGAATGATGGTTCTACGTGCTATTTCTCTCATGGCTCCCGTCCTAGGCTCGGATATTACTTGTTCTAAGCTTCTTCCTGTGGTGGTTGATGCTTCCAAAGACAGGTTAAAAAAAACCATATCTTATATCAATTCGATTTTGAGAATATGAATATGTTCTCCAGTGTAAGGAAGAGGATTCGGCTAACTATATATAGCCTTTGATACTGCAGGGTCCCCAACATTAAGTTCAACGTGGCTAAACTCCTTCAGTCCCTAATCCCGATAGTTGACCAGTCGGTAAGTATACGACAAAAGAAGCGTTCTACTTCGATAAATAACATTTCTCGGAAACATAACGTAGTCGCCCGTTTCTGCTAATGTGATATCTAAATCGGATTTTTGCCACTTTAGGTGGTGGAGAAGACGATCCGTCCATGTCTGGTGGATCTAAGTGAGGACCCTGATGTCGATGTCCGTTTCTTCGCGAACCAAGCTCTTCATTCCATCGACACAACAACTATGGAGTCGTGAGCTTTTTAAGACGAGTCTCTGTTTCGGACAGAAGGTTCACCACCACCCCTCCCATTCATGGATTCTTGAGATCTGTTTCTTGTTCTCGTGGTTCTCCCTCTCCCATGTAGCTCTTCAGTTTTGTCTTTGACGATGTGAAAATCTCCTCTGTTTCCCCAACCTTTTGTGTCCTGTCTCTTCCTAACTGAAGTAATCTCACGTTTTTTTCTCTCTCTAGTAGATACGGTCTAATTATGCGATTGATGTTTTCTCATGTAATATATATACATATATATATATATGTGTGTGTGTGTGTGTATTTTCAGGCAAATGGAATTCTTAGCTCATTCATGGGTCATGTTATATATATATATATATATATATATATATATATATTGAGATAGAGATTCTATGAGCATATAAAGTACACATCCTCATTTATACTATATGCTCTCTTTTTGTATAATCGAGCTAGTGGGAAAAACAAATATTCTGTGATATTTCTTTAGAGATGGTGTCATGTGATATAAAGCTTGTGTACTTGTAATTATTCTCATCCATGGAATCACCGGAAAAAGGAGAGAACCGGAAATTTATCAAACGAATAATAATAATAATAATAATAATAATAATAATAATAATAATAATAATAATAATAATAATAATAATAATAATAATAATAATAATAATAATAATAATAATAATTCTAGCGTCTGTACTTGATTTCTCGATAGATTCGAATCGAACAACACACGCGTACGAAATGTAAAGTACACCCAAGTTTAACGTGTTCGGATTCACTTCGAATCCTACTCACGGCCAGATGAGATCTGAAAAATTCACTAGGACGATGATGGAGATTTACACGACGATCTGATTCGCACAGGCCCACGAACTCAGTCGAAAAGAAGGAAAGAGAAACGAGAGAGAAAACTGAAGAACCCAGAAAAGTTGCAGAGGTAGACGACGAACTCTGTTTATATACCAGAAACTCACCAACAACCATAACAACCTGCTCCGAAATGACCTTCGTGCCCCGTGGATTAATTCAGCTCACAAAACGCTGCGTTTACTTTAACTCTGATTCGATCTCCAATCGATCACCGGTTTTTCCTAAACCGAGGCAAGACCAGAACCTTCTGAATGGTACAAAAGGTTCTCCATTGCTGGGTATCCTTAACAAACTCCACCTTGCCCAGCAATGTTGTCTCGTTTTAGTGTGAATTTGCCGAAACCTCACCTGGTATCTACCATATTTCCTATGTGGTTACTTTCAGTAAGCTCAGCGCCTCGCCGAACTTACCTACAGGAAGAGTTTTGGTAAAAATGTCAGCTGGATTAATCTCTGACTTGATCTTCACCACCTGAACTTTACCTTCTGTGATAACATCTCTTAGGAAGTGCAACCTTACGTCGATATGCTTTGTCCTTTCATGGTGAACGTTGTTCTTTGCCAAGCATATTGCGCTTTGTGAGTCACAATGAATCTGTACAGGTCCTTGTTCGATTCCTAGTTCCTCTGTCAAGCCTTTTAACCATAGCGCTTCCTTGAAAGATTCAGCTAGTGCCATGTACTCTGATACTGTTGTAGAGAGAGCCACCACGTGTTGAAGTGACGATCTCCAGCTGATGACGTTGCCCCCGATAGTAAAGACATAACCTGTGATTGACCTTCTTCTGTCTAGATCAGATGCGAAGTCTGAATCGCAGTACCCTGTTATGCTGAACTTTTCTTCTTTATCTGTGTAAACCAACTTCAGATTTAAACTTCCCTTGATGTACCTCAATATCCACTTTACAGCTGCCCAATGCTCCTTGTTTGGTCGACTCATGAACCTGCTTACTAAACCTACACAATATGCCAAATCGGGTCTCGATCCTATCATGGCATACATAATGCTACCGACAGCATTAAGGTATGGAGTTGAGTCAAGGTCCAGAGTTTCCTCATCCTCCTTTGAGCTCTTTAGTTTGAAATGTGATCCCAGTGACGTCAACACAGCTTTTGCATCTGTCATGCCAAAGTTTCCAATTACCTTTTGAAGATAATCCTTTTGTGACATTGTTAGAATGCCTTTTGCTCTGTTTCTGTCGATGTCAATGCCAAGGATCCGCTTTGCTTTCCCTAGATCCTTCATCTCGAATTGAGTTGCCAGCAATTCCTTGACTTTTTCCACCTCTGCTTTATTCTCTGCAGCAACAAGCATGTCATCTACATATATAAGTAGATAAATGTAAGAATTACCTTATGTTCTTTTGAAATATACACACAGATCATGTCTGCTACGTGTAAATCCTTGCTGAATCATGAAGCTGTCGAATTTTACATTCCACTGCCTCGGAGATTGCTTCAGACCATATAATGATTTTTTGAGCAGACACACTTTCTCAGATTTTCCTTCGATTTTGAAACCTTCTGGTTGATCCATGAATATTTGCTCCTCTAAGTCTCCATGTAGAAAGGCTGTTTTTACGTCGAATTGCTCCAATTCAAGATTCTTGTATGCAACTAATGACAGCAGCAGTCTGATGCTGACATGTTTAACCACATGGGAGTAGATTTCGTTGTAATCTATACCCTCTCGTTGTGAATACCCTTTGCTACAAGTCTGGCCTTGAACCGAGGTTTCTCTACGCCAGGGATGCCAGGTTTTCTTTTGAAAACCCATCTGCAGCCTATCACCTTTTGATTTACTGGTTTGTTGACCAGTAACCATGTTCTATTTTTGTGTAAGGACTGCATCTCTTCCTTCATTGCTTTTAGCCATTCTTCATATTCCTTGGTCTGTAGGGCTTGTTCATAGGACTTTGGTTCGTCCATGTCTGCTTCACTAGCTGCTGAGAGAGCAAAAGCTACTGAGCTCTCTTCTCTGTATCTGAGAGGAGGTTGGATGGTTCTCCTCTCTCTGTCCCTGGCAAGCTGGTAAGTTTGTAGATCATCTCTTGGTGTTTCTTCTTCTTCTTCTTGATCCACCATTTCATTCTCTCGTTTCTCGTGGGGATCCATCTTCTGGTTCGATTCTAGATTCATCATTTCCATCACGAGCTCCACCTTGAAGATGACTTCTGTCTTCACCTGGAGTTCCATTAGAGTTTCCTTCAGGCAGATTCATTATCTCGAATCTGGCTTTTGCAGCTAATTCCGCTGTTGTCCTCGAATCTTGTTTCCTGGGTTTCTCCACCTCTTTATACACGATGTTTTCTTTGAAGATAACATCTCGACTTATGATCACCTTTTTGTCGTCCAAGATCCAGATTCTATACCCTTTTACTCCTTGTGGATAACCTACAAAAATTCCTTTTCTGGCTCTTGGCTGTAGCTTCCCTTGGTTTGTGTGTACATAGGCTACACATCCAAATCTTTTCAGATCCTTGAGAGATGGCTCTCTTCCAAACCAGATTTCTGACGGTGTCTTCAAGTCTATAGCACTTGATGGTGACAGGTTTATTAAATAGACAGCTGTGTTGGCAGCTTCTCCCCAAAATTCTTGTCCTAGCCCTGAATCTGACAGCATACTTCTGACCTTGTTCATCACCGTTCTATTCATCCTTTCCGCCACACCATTTTGCTGTGGTGTGTATGTGCATGTTCTGTGACATTTGATTCCTTGATCTTTGCAGTACTGATCAAAGGTCTGATTACAGTACTCAAGACCATTATCTGTGCGAAGGTGTTTGATTTTCCTTTCTGTCTGAGTTTCAATCATGGTTTTCCACTCCACGAACTTAGTGAAAGCCTCATCCTTAGTCCTGAGTAGATAAATCCACACCATTCTTGAGTGGTCATCTATGAACGAGATAAAGTATTGAGCTTTACCGAGAGTGGGAGTTATGCTTGGGGCTCCCCATAGATCAGAGTGGATGTAGTCCAGATTGTTTTCAGAAACATGCTTTCCTTTTGGGAATGACAGTTTGTGAGTCTTTCCCATAATGCAGTCTTCACATGAGCTCAGGTTTACTGCCTTGGTTTCTCCGAGCAGGCCTTTTTGTGCTAAGACTTGAAGTCCTTTTTGACTCATGTGACCAAGCCTTTGATGCCAAAGTCTCACTGGATCCTTATTTTCTACAATCTGTAATTCTCCTAAGATTGCCTTTCCCTGCAGAACATACAGACCACCCTCTAGTTTTCCTGTCATTATCAGCCTTGAACCTTTGTAGACCTTGAGTTTACCGTTCTGTGAGTGGTAACTCATTCCTGTTTTGTCTAGTGACCCGAGTGAGATCAGGTTCCTTTTTAAATCGGGTATGTATCTTACCTGACTTAAAACTTTGATGCTTCCATCATGAAACTTAATCTTGATCTCACCTATACCTTTAACATCGCAAGAGACGTTATTGCCCATCAGCACTTTCCCACCATCCACAAATTCTAGTTTCGAAAACCAGTCCTTCCTTGGTGACATATGAAAAGTGCATCCTGAGTCCATTATCCACTGATCTGAGGGTTCTTGATCAGACACTGTCAGTACCTCAGTTGTTTCGAAATCATTTCCTGAAACTGCTGTTACATCCCCTGGTTTCTTAGATTGTTCTTCCAAGAATCTCTTTCTGTTTCTGCATTCCTTTTTGAAATGACCTTCCTTTCCGCAGAACCAGCAGTCTGTTTCCGATTTCTCCTTAGATTTGCCTTTTGAGGACTTTCCTTTCTGTGATTTATTAGGTCTCTTGCCAGGTTTACTTCGAACCAGCAAACCTTCCCCTGTATTTCCTTTGGTCTTTGCCTTGAATTCCAGTTCCTTGGAATATAGTGCAGAAGTGATTTCTTCCACTGTGACCTCATCTTTCCTTGCATATTTGAGAGTATCTCTCAATTGCTCATATTTGTCTGGAAACGAGTTTAGTAGATGCATGGCCTGATCTTCCTCTGAGATTTCAACCTGAAGATTGTTAAGATCACTGATCAAAAATCCTGAAATTGTCAATGTTCTCTTCCATGCTTTTCCCTTCATCCATCTTGTATCCGAACAGCTTCTGTTTTAGATACATCTTGCTTGGTATGGATTTGTGTAAGTATTCTCGCTCCAGCGCTTTCCACATGCCTGATGTTGTTTCCTCATTCTTGATCTTTCTCATAATTTGATCCGTCAAGCATAAGAAAATCAGATTTCGAACCTTCCTACTGTTCTCATACCTCGAGTCTCGAGATGATGTCCGATCTGTGGTCTCCACTGACCACTGTCACCTAGTTTGATCTGCTTCGTTTCTATTTCCTTTGAACCTTCAGTCTGTGGTCCTTCTCCCGCAATGTAATTTTCATTCAGAACCTTGTGTAGCCGAAGAATCTCGAGACTTGCAAGAACTTTGTCTTTCCAGAGAGAAAAGTCTGATTTACCATCATACTTTTCCACGTCTAGTTTAACCACTGATATACCTGATGCCATTTGAGAGATATCTGTCGCTCTTTTCTGAAAACTGTGATCGAATCAAGATCTCCCTGAACCTGCAACTGTAACCTTGTTGCAACCTTGAAATCAAGATCGTACCTGGAAGAATTTTAGAGTTTGGCGAGGAATGTTCCCTGGATCGGAACCAGGCTCTGATACCAGTTCTAGCGTCTGTACTTGATTTCTCGATAGATTCGAATCGAACAACACACGCGTACGAAATGTAAAGTACACCCATGTTTAACGTGTTCGGATTCACTTCGAATCCTAGTCACGGCCAGATGAGATCTGACAAATTCACTAGGACGATGATGGAGATTTACACGACGATCTGATTCGCACAGGCCCACGAACTCAGTCGAAAAGAAGGAAAGAGAAACGAGAGAGAAAACTGAAGAACCCAGAAAAGTTGCAGAGGTAGACGACGAACTCTGTTTATATACCAGAAACTCACCAACAACCATAACAACCTGCTCCGAAATGACCTTCGTGCCCCGTGGATTAATTCAGCTCACAAAACGCTGCGTTTACTTTAACTCTGATTCGATCTCCAATCGATCACCGGTTTTTCCTAAACCGAGGCAAGACCAGAACCTTCTGAATGGTACAAAAGGTTCTCCATTGCTGGGTATCCTTAACAATAATAATAATGATAATCTATATTATCACAGAGACGCACAAGATTCAGTGAGCACATTCTACATATAAAAGGTTGGTTCGATTCTTTCAACTTGGAGATATTCTCTCTCCTCAACATATGATATAATGAAAGACCCTCGATTCATAAATTGCAAGATGACATTACAATATGAAAAATAAAAATAAAATAAAAGCTTACAACAGTAGAAACAAGCCCACATTGACCGAAATATATATATTCCATAATCTCTAATAGAAAGGGAAGTCCACTGAGACACATGCACAGAAAGGATCTTTGGCCATGGGAAGTGGGCGTATGTGTGTGTAGATATGCATATATAGAAGATCCGTCAAACAATAGAAAAGGGAGTGGTCACACATAATGGGGGCTCCCCAAAAAGCTAAGGGTTTCATGGTGTTTTTTTGACATATATTATATAACCCACTTCCCCCAAGCATGTGTCTTGTCCTTCAATTTGTCAACATTCTCATCCCCATGTCCTTATAATAGCTTATGGCTACAATATATATATATATATATGTATATGTATGTATGTATATATGTTGGAGGAATTGGAATTTTTTTTTTTGAATCTGCATAACCAATTATTCATACTTTGTGTCCATTTATTTAAATATTTTTTATTATAAGAAAACATCTAACACGCTCTTTCTGACTTTGGAATGGTGCACCGAAAAGCCGAGCGTTGAAATTCCATAAACCAAAAAAAAAAAAAAAAATCGGTGAGCAAAAAACGATCGCCCACCACTCCACATTCTTGGGCGCCCACGTGGCATTTTCACCGTCTCTCCTTCTCATTTTCTAGAAATAATAATAATAATAATAATAATTCGAACAGTGAATTCCATCTACAAACTTACGAATGAACAGCCGCCTCCACCGGAGAAGAAGAAGTCAGCCGTGACGAAATTACATAAATAATAAAATAAGACAAAAAAAAAATAAACATTTTATTATTATTATATATGCCCTATCTATATGTATGACTAACGTGTGTACATATACATATATATATATATATACATGATTATTGTCAATATCAACCCCACGTACATAACTTTATCTGAATAATTGAATATTATATGTTAGATGGAAAAAGTTAATTTCAGAAATATCACAACCTTAGCTGTCCCTTTCTCCTCCATTTTCATCATCGTCATCTATATAAACAAGTTGCAAAGCCTCTCGGCCCGTTAAAAAACCACACATCCTTCGACATGGGAGCCACTACACTAACCCATGTGACCAAAACCCCTAAAAACAATATTAATAATAATAAGAAAAATATTCATCTCCACCATGAGCATGAACATGGACCGGTGGTCGACGAAGTCGAAGGTGTTCTTAGGGTTTACAAAGACGGCCACGTGGAACGATCATCGATCGTTCCCCGTGTCGGACCCTCATTGGCTCCCGATATCGGCGTCGCTTGCTCCGACGTCCTCATCGACAAGTTCACGAGCGTTTGGGCTCGCTTCTACGTCCCCAAGGCGCCATCAATGGCCTCTTCCAGTAAGCTCCTTCTTCCTCTTCTCGTCTACTTCCATGGCGGAGGCTTCTGTGTCGGCTCGGCTTCTTGGTCGTGTTACCACGACTTCCTGTCCAGACTCTCGTCTCGTTCGCAGTGTCTGATCATGTCGGTAAATTACCGATTAGCCCCTGAAAACCCTCTTCCCGCCGCCTATGACGACGGCATCAAGGCTGTCCTGTGGCTCAAGCAACATGCAAACCCTAATTACAGAGACATACGACGGCGGAGGAGCTGTAACTTGTGGGCCAAGCAATGCGATTTCGGGAGAATATTCTTGGCCGGAGACAGCGCCGGCGGCAACATCGCCCACCGTGTCGCCACCACTTTGGATCGCAGCCTCCTAAGGCCGTTGACCATCGAAGGCACGATCTTGATCCAACCCTTCTTCGGCGGGGAGGAGCGCGTGGAGAGCGAGAGGCGCGTGACGTCAACGTCATCGATCCTCAGCTTGTCCGCGTCTGACGCTTACTGGCGGCTGGCGTTGCCACGTGGCACAAACAGGGACCATCCCTTCTGCAACCCGTTGACCGCCGCGTCTCCGGCGCCGGCGACGGCGGAGAGGATGATGGTGTGCGTGGCGGAGATGGATATCTTGAGGGACAGAGAGATGGAGTTTTGTGATGACGTGGCGGAGAAATATGGCGGGCAGAAGGTGAAGCGCGTGATTTACAGAGGCGTCGGACACGCGTTTCAGATTCTGGGCAGATCTCAGATCTCTCAGACACGAACTCACGAGTTGATGTCTCATATCCACTCTTTTATCCACCACTCTGATCTAATTATATTTTAATTTTTTTTAAAAAAATAAGATCCTCTGTTTAGTTAATTTATGATTTAGCTACCACATACTTTCTGCATGCGTTTCTAGGTTCAGCATATGTGTATTTACGCATGGGAAATGGCATATATTAATACTTGATTTTTTTTTTAAAAAAAATATGATATAAATACACAGACTATAAAATTTTTAAAAAAACTATAAATTTCTATAGTAAAAACTAAAATTTTTAAACCACCATGGCAATTTTCGGGAGTCGTTTAAAAATTCATAATTATCCTTTTTAAAAAATTAATAATTTAATGTAGGAGTTGATATATTTTTTTACGAATTCTTACGATCTTCTATTGTTTTGGGCCAAACTATACAGTATTTATGGATATTTTGTATGGTCGTTGACATGACATGATGTAATTCGGTATTTGAAAATTAAAAGAAATAGATATTTTAATAATAAAAAAGCGATGGTAATGGGGAGAGCGAGGGAGTGCATGAACGTGGAGTTGGCTTTGTGCTTAAGGAATTGGACAAGACTTGAAGTGAGTTTGTGGGGAAAGAAGATTATTATGATTACAGACATTTATAGTGGCGGACAAATTTGGACAGTGCTTGTATTAATGGTCTCCATTCAATGGCAACATCATCTTTTTTTTTTTCTAAGTTTGTTTTGTTATGAAACCGTATGAATATATATTAACGACCCGAAAATCAAATCGTTAATTAGAAATCGAAATCGACCGCGTAAGAGTTATGAGAAACAATGTAACTCTTATAACCCAATTTGGATAGTTCAAATTCTGAAGTTACTATTTATTTATATTGGTATTGTAAACCGTGTCCATATATATGATAAATGTTTTTTTTGTAATCCAAAAATTCAACGGATTTTTTGGTCCGACTACATCTCCTAAAAGACAAGGAAAGTCCAGTGAATGTCATTCTCCACATTTGGGTTTGAACCCAGGATGAGAGCCTGCTTTGCATGTTTTCTCACCACTAGACCACCTAAATTTGGATATATATGATAAATGTTCGTATATTACGAACTGTACAGTGATTGTTACTCCATTGCAACGATATTTTTTGTTTATAACATATTTTACCATTTCTAATGTTTTTTAATCTTACGTAATACGTTTAACCATCATATTTTTAGAAATTTTTAGTTAAGATTGTTTTTTTAATAAAGGTTTACCAAGGTGCTTCGATGTTCTGAAATAAAATCTTGAACAACTAAAGACCGATCATATAAAACCATGATTTTTTTTTTGTCGAGAAACAAAAAAAAAAATGAAACAAGATTCCGAATGAATAGTTGCATAAAGTTCACGACCAGTTAAGAGTTCAAGGGCAGACATAATGACCCAAACGAATTTGTACAAACGTCGATCTAATCCTACAGAGAATGAAATCTAAGTCTCAGTTCATATCTAACTGCTCCAAATAAAACATCTATTCACCGCCACGTCATTTCTTGTGTCCCAAGTAACCGTTTTCCTCGTTTTATCTCTCTAACACTTCGGCCTGGCTAACCAGAGAGAGCTAAGTGCCCTTAGACGAGAAACATAGTCATGTATTACCAAAAATGCTCGAGCTGCTTGTCGTGTGGTCAGAATCCTGTATAACTGCTGTAGTGTTTGCTGCCTCAAGAGATCCGCCTGCAAAGAAACAAAAACACAACAGGAAACTAGTTAGGTTCTTCACCAGACATGACCAGATAAAAGGGTTAGAACATTCAAGGGCCGAGGTTTTTTTTTTTTTTGCCTGGCGGAGGAAGTTTTCGAGGGAGGCGAGTCTGCCCATTGCAATGGCCATCTGACCCATGTAATCTGCAACGTTGGCGGGAGAGTTCAGACCGTTCGACGACGAAGAAGACGATAATGTCTCGAGAAGCGTTTGTTGCAGAGCTTCCATGCCTTGCGACAGTGCTTCTTCCGCTTGCAAAGACGACTGCTGAAGATTACAAATGCCCGTCAACTGCTGTTCCGTCAATGGATCCAGGTTGTTCCCTAGAATCTGAAACAACAAAGACCGAGAAATCAAGAACTCAAAAACCCGATCAGCGGATTGTTCCATATGTCAGAGAAAGTTTCCGTCTTTGCTCACCCTGAGGAGTTCAGAGGATCTGAACCCACCTAACCACATGAAAAATCTCTCGGCAGGTGTGGTCCACATGCCAGAGAGCATGTGAAAGACGTCGACTTTAGAGCCAATGCCCTTTAACCTGAAGATTTCGTCGTAGTGAGCCATCACAGCATCCACCAGTACTCGTAGCTCGTTATCTCCCATCTGTAGATTCACAGCTGATCGTAGATCGTTGATCAGCCTCTGATGTTCATCCACCCAACGTGCATATTCCAATTCGAATGCAAAGGTACCTGTAAGAATCTTTTCGGTGTTATACGCCAATTGGTCACACAATAAACAGAAACAACAGTGTCCAGTAGGATCTAGAAAGGGATAACCATTTCCAGAAACTTGAAGGGTGTGATCTTCCGAAACTCCGTTTTCAACTACAAATCCCTGCATTGGAGATCAATCCAAGAATCAAATGAATGAACATCTCTACCACATTAATTCGAATTCGAAACTTTTATCAAGTCAAGAACTATCTTAGGAGACACCAGTCAATAGAAATATAGATGGTCATTTCATTTCAAGACCTGTTGTCGAGCCCTTTTGAGCTCCTCCTCGAGTTGGGCAAGCCTGAGTCTACTGCTCTCAAGCTGCTGAACATATGCCTACGAAGGAACAGATGATTGAATGCAAACTTCAGATCAAAGATGATGAAAATCAGTTTTTGTGAAACAAGTTCTACTCTACTTTTTTCCTCAGCCGGCTTTTCCTTGCAGCTTCTCTGTTCTGAGCCAATCTCCGAAGGGTCTGATAACAATTCAAATGTTCAATTTTGATCTCAGAACATTGGTCCGTGAATTACACACACTGATGAGTTCAAATTTAAATAAATAAATAAACTCAAAGCATTGAACCTTTTGGTCCCCAGATTTAGCCTTATGTTGATCTGTAGAAGCCGTAGCGAATAGTGTCCCTTGCTGAACCCCGTTTAACTAAAATACCACACCACCAAGAAATAAGCCTTTATAATAACATCATATCTCAAAACCTTGACCATAACAAGCTCAAAAATGCAAAAATGGATCTAAAAATGTGAAATTCCATATATACACAAGTCTCATTTCCATACAAAGCTATAAACTTTACAAGCTACTGGTGAAAATCTCATTTGGGTATGTGAAATTTCATATACACAGCTCGAAATGCAAAAATGGATCTAAAAATGTGAAATTTCATATATACACGAGGCTCGTTTCCATAAAACGTTGTAAACTTTACATGCTACAGGTGAAAATCTCATCTGGGTATGTGAAATTTCATATATACACAAGTCTCATTTCCATAGAAAGCCATAAATTTTACATGCTACTGGTGAAAATCTCATTTGGGTACCCATTTGTTTTCCATGTAAATTGAATGAAGATGGGAAACGATATCAATCATTAAGCGACACAAGCTAAGGTGGTGAGCCCCATCGAGCCAAATCGGACAATCCTCTCGGGATAGTCGAACGGAGAGAGAGTTCTCGGAGAAAATTCTCGAATTCCGAGATGACCCATCAATGGGGGTTTATAAGACCAAACGGACAAAAAACTCGAATTCCAGCAAACCATAGCTCAGAAGAAGACATGTTGAAACAGAATCTTTTTGGGCAGAGATTAAGAACAAAAAACGGAACGAGACAAAGAACAAAACCTGGGTCTTGTCATCGGTATCAATATCTGTGGAAGTGTCAGTATGTTGGCTGTTATCTGCCATGGCCGAGACTGAGTCGCACCAGTTCTCCATAGTGTTGCCGCAATGCCCATTGACCGACGCTGCCGCTGCCGCTGCCACTGCTCCTGTCGTTGTCCCTCCCTGGAACACCAATTGCCCTGTATCCAAACACCCTGCTTCTCCTTCAAATCTCTCCAAAACCTAGAAAAACGAAACAACAACAACAACAACAACAACAAAGGTTTGAACTTGATCGGAATCCAAACGACGTAACATTTTCACAAAAAAAAAAAAAAGGTTTGAACTTTATTATACCCAAATAAAAAAAGAGATTTTTAAATAATGGGTTTGGGATAAATATCATGAAACAGAGTTATTTACAGAGATTGGTTGGTGGCATAAACTTTTACCGTATCAAACGTCGCGTAGTGTAAGTTGGTGCAAGCAACAGTGACATCTGCAGGTGCTGAACCCGCTGCCACTGCTCCTGTCGTTGTCCCTCCCTGGAACACCAATTGCCCTGTATCCAAACACCCTGCTTCTCCTTCAAATCTCTCCAAAACCTAGAAAAACGAAACAACAACAACAACAACAACAACAAAGGTTTGAACTTGATCGGAATCCAAACGACGTAACATTTTCACAAAAAAAAAAAAAAGGTTTGAACTTTATTATACCCAAATAAAAAAAGAGATTTTTAAATAATGGGTTTGGGATAAATATCATGAAACAGAGTTATTTACAGAGATTGGTTGGTGGCATAAACTTTTACCGTATCAAACGTCGCGTAGTGTAAGTTGGTGCAATCAACAGTAACATCTGCAGGCGCTGAACCGAAAATGGAGCCTACTGAGATTCCCAATGAAGCCCAAATAGACAAATGTAAAGATACACGTAAATATGCATTCTGTGTGTTTGTGTAAATGCTTATATACATATATATATTTACATGCTTGTGCGTATGCAAGAAAAAGCTTTACTTGGGCTTAAATCAACAGCTCCGTCGTGGTGAAAACCGGCAGTGGGCTGATGAATCTCTTCAAGACCACCGCTTCCCCTGTTTTTTTGTTTTGTTTGAGAATCGAAACATGAAAAAATGCCGGGAAACGACAACGTTTTCAGACAGAGACCCATGAAACAGATAAAGCTTCGCGGTTAAGGAATGGAACCTGTAGAAGAAAGAAGACTGGCAGTAGAAATCTGGGCTGAAAGGAGTCGCCTTGAAGCTGCTCTGCATATTTCTTCTTCTTCTTCGTGTTCTTGCAAAAACTCAAAGTTCTGATTTTTTTTTTTTTTTGTTCAGTTTGAATCTGATGAAGAAGACGAGATTTTCACGAGGGAAAAAAGAGAGGAAAGCGTTAAATGAAGGGAAGGTGAAATCTCTAAACCGAGAAAAGATGGCGAATCAGTACGGTAGGAGAGAAACCATAATTCATAAAATAAATTCCAAAACAGATTTTTTTTTTTTTTTAAAAAAAAAAGAGGTGAAAAGAGAGAATCAGGATTTATTTATTATTGCGTCTCTGAGCCTGGGATTTTAGTTTCCCGATATCCAACACACACACCCACGTATCCCTCAAATACCATTTTTTTAAAATAAATAAATATTTTTTAATAAATTTTATAATTGTTGTACAACTGTTGTATATCTCTTGACAACTTCCTGTGTGTATATATATATATATATATATGTAACTTTTCTTGTATCAATCTTAACAAATCTTCACTTTTGGTTTTAAACTTTTTTTTTTAATAATGGGTGGGCGATTCGATTTGGATTCCCACATCTATACCCCCATTTTAAATTTAAATATTATATTATTCATAAGATAAATAAATATTTCTGAATTATAAATGGATTGAATTGACAAAATAATTTAAAGACTCTGTCGAAGCAAATAAATCTAAACAGCTGCCCTTAAAAAAGACATATCGATCTTGATCTTGTGTTTCAATATTTGGACATTGATTATTTGTAAATGATTAGTCTAAGAGAAAAAAAAATTTGGATTTATTAAATAATAAAAGTACTGAATACGGAATTCACCTCGGATGCGTTACTGTGTAATTCTGTCAACGGTGAATCCCCAATATATTAGTTTCTTTTTTTTTCTGTGAAAGCGTAGAAATAATAAATTAATATCACAAACACGTATCTTTTTCACTGGATACGTAGAAATATACGTATATACGTGTGAGTATATACGGTAAAAACAAGAGAGGGAGGGTCATTTCCATCTTGTTACTGTCAGGCCAAGTTGAAAATGGCCTCTCAAGACTGCAGCCAGAGATTTTACATTTAGCCTTTTGTAATATTCAAAGTCTCTTATCTCGTCCTTTTTTTTAAAAAAATATTATTTTCATTTTTTTTTAAGAAGATACTGTTTTATTTTCCTATTAGAAAACGAATAAAATGTGACCCAATCTTTTTTCATACTAAAATATTTGGATGACAGATTTTTTTTCATCACCAAACTTTACTATTTATTATACTAAACCTTTTACTGAAGTCATTTTAAAATTTTTTTGTAAGTAAAAAAATATGGATAGATTTCTGATTTTATAATGTATACAATTGAATTTAGATTTTAATATGACTCCAATTACATATTTAAAATCTTTCTTTTAAAAATCAGTTTTAATAAATTTTATTTAAAAACATTACATCTAATACATTTGTACGCCAAATTTAATTTATATACCAATATATATTACATATATATATATATGATTCGTATCAATTTGATTAAATTTTGTATAGAAGAATGGAAATAATTTTACTAAATAAAAAATAATATCTTTAAAACAAAAAATATATATAATTATGTCTCTAAAGACACTATCCACCGTGTATATATATATATATACAAAACAGATATGTACATCTTCATATATGTGAGGAGCCCCGACAAGGGAAAAAAAAAGGGGAACGAGTCAAAACGTTTGGATTTCGTCATGTTATACGGCGGGCAGCGAAGCAAAACGCTGCGTTTTGTCCCTTTTCCCTCTATCTATTAAAGGTCAACAACGAAAAATTACAGCTAAGCCCTAGCCCCTCGGCTGCAATGCATATTTATTTAATTATTTATTACATATTTATGCAATTGGTTCGTTCGTTTTTTTTTGTCTCACATCCGTCCGATTAATCCACTGGTGAGGGAGGGGAAGAGAGCCTGACTTCGTGCCCAGAAGCTGATGTGAAGTTGATGGAAAATCCACTACGTACATATGTATATATATGTGTATATATATACACAAACACAAACAAAACATTAAATAGTTAAATAAATGAATGTACAAAACGAAGTATTAAATATCTCTGTAATTTTGTATAAAAAACAAAAATTAAAGAGAGCATTAAAAAAGAGGGATTGCTTGAAAGAAACCTCTTCTGCCATGTAAAAACTCCAAGAAAAATAAAGGAGAAGGCTACAAGTTTTTTACTCTCTGCCCTAAATATAGATCCTTCCCTTACATTTACTGCTTCTTCTTTTTTATTTTATTTTATTTTATCTCTTGGTTTCTTTTGGATATTTCTAGAACCCATATTGGTAATTGGGTAAGAGATAAGTTTATATTATAACCCCAATTCGAATCTTAAGTTTGATGAGAACGCCTATAATCTAAATTACATGGTTGAATCCCGAATTCGAGATAGTTTAGACTTTTGTCCCAACATATCTAATAAAAAGAATCGTTTTTTTTTTTTGCTTTGAAGGAAATTAGAAACGTTTGAAAAGTTCATGACGTTGTTCTTCGGACAAAACATAAAACCAGATGGTGAGAGAGATCTATGGCAAAGAGGTACATTGCAAATCGTTTCACATGACATGGGAATTTTGTCTTTGGTCTTAGGGGCATTTGGTGTCTACTTGTGGGAATGCGTTCTTTGACCCTTTTTCTCTCTTCATTCTCTTTTTGTTATCATGCATCATCTTATATGGAATATACACATGTATATATACACATTACATATACATATATATCACTGTGAGGCTCTTCTCTGTAATGGAAAAGACTCCGTTTCTTTAATGATTCGGACAAGTGCAGAGAAGAAAGAGTTACAGTTAATCTATCACCATTTATGTCCTCTTAAGGCTCTAAACATATACACACACACACACCAATATATATATATATATATGTTACTGGACTCTCCACCATCACCATTTTCAAGCCAACCTATACAAAATATCCACACCCACATTGAATATCGAGGAAGTTAGCTGAAATTTGTCAGAAATGGAAAGCAATTTGTAAGATCATCCCCATAAACATGACAAGAATCAGATTTGATTACAGAAGACAAGGATCGGGGAATATAGAACCTGCAAATGCAAATTACGATTATAAAATCCAAACATGATTCTTCAGATCCTCCTTAATTCTGCGGGACACTCGATTCGCAGGCAATGTAAGAACTTGCTCCGAAAGACCATAGAGCCATCCACAGAAGCATCATCGCCATGAAAGCATGCGAAGTTTCGTCAAAAACAATAATTTGTCCAAGTAACGTGAAAAGTTTCTTGCTTTATACACACATATATATATCCAAATCCTCGTACGTACCTGTCTGTACCCGATATAACGTACATAAACTGAAGAACAGCACCGATGGCAAATGGCTCCGCCCCTAAAGATCTGTCTTAAACCAGAAACACAGTACGCTGAGGGGAAAACCCCCAACTGAATCGGCAAAGAGCATGGCCTCCATACCGAGATGTTGGGGGTTCGACTCCAGCCGCTCACATGTCGCCTGTCGGTTGATTCACCTCCCACACGTGTGTTGCTTGCTCGTGCGTGTAGGTTTGGGTTTACTCGGTTCTGTGCGTCCGAAGGGCCACCGCTGTGACTGGGGTCAGCGAGCCCGAGGTTGGGGCCGGGGTTCCCAATGTATAAAACAAAACATAGTACACTAATCACTGATAAATACGCTGTTAAAATGTGAACCGATCGATACCTTCATCGTCTTATTCGCACAAGAACCGATCAATGTTCGACCTATCCGATTTTCTAAATTTAACCAGCCAAATCATATGGGGTTCGATTGCCATTTCCACTCCTTTGAATCCTCTCTAGATTCTGCGCTGAAATCAAACGAACCAACGAAAAAACAGGCATACCATGAAATAAGCATCGAGGAAAACGACTGATTCGTTGAATTGCGCCATTGCTAGACACCAAAACTATCGTTGAATAAAAAAATCGGATTTTTTTAAAACCATGTGTATATTTCCCCTTTTTTTAATTATTTAAAGTTTTTTTAAAAAAAGTTGAGGAAAGAGAAGCTTTTTTTAGGACAGAAATGATCGTGCCAAATCGATCATCACACTATTCTTTGTTCTAATGGCAGCAGAAGTGGTGGCATTATTGTCTCCTCCACCTCTTCTTGTCCCCTTTTTTCTTTCTCTCCCGTTTCATTATATAACAACATATATGAAATAATATATATCACATTTTATATATATATATATATATATATATATTATGGCATTGGGCCCCACAGTTTTTTCACTTTGTCCGAAGAAGAGCAGTAGAAATTACAAAACGAAGAATCCACATTTACTTCTCTCTCCTTAGGTAAAAACAGTAATTTAAACCAACGACTAGAAATCCAATTCTGAATTAAAAATCCAAACTTTTAAAAGAATCTGACATTAGCATTGATTGGATGAGAATCCAATGGCAGAGTTCGCCAGATCGAGAGTGACACGTGTCCCCTGCTGCTGCACGTTGCCTATGATCCCCATCGGTGACGTCGTCGGCGCAAAAGCCAAGCAGAAAGTCCCCGCCGAATCCACCGGAATCAGGTAATTCTTCGCCGGCAACGCCAACATTCTCCCGCCGGTAAAGTGGAGCGCCACCGTCGGAACCTCCACCGTCGTGTTCCCCGACAGGTCGTAGCACGTGTCGAAAAGCGCCACGCCGCTCGCTGTCGGCAGGTCCGCCGTCCCCTTAACGAACGAGTCCCTCAGCGAGTTGTACGTCTCTGTCTGGAGACGAGTCACGGCGGTTCCCGAGTCGATGATGACCCCTCCGATTCCCGACTCAGCCATTCGGAAAGCTGACTTGGGAACCGGCAGGAACTCGCCGCCGACGCTGATTCCGGCGATACCCAGGTAGTAAAATGTGTCGACCTGAGGGTTCCGGAGCAACGGAGCCACGACGGCGTTCGGAGGAAGAGGCGAGTCAAACTCAACAGTCGACGACGAGTCCGAGTCACGATCCACGAGGCAGTAAGAGAACGACGTCGTGTTGAGCTGCGACGGCAGCGACAGCATCCCGCCGCCGAGTCCGAGCAACCCTGCGGCGCCGACGAAGAGACCTTCGTTGCTGTGGCCGCAACCGATGGCGATGTGCTCGACAGAGGCGGAGCCAATGGTGATTGTCTCGGTGGCAAAGTCGCCGACCGTATACGACCCATCACCGTACGAAACCTCGTACAGACATGTCTGGTTCCGACATTCGTAATCATCAAGGGCCTTACACTCAGAGCTATGGCAGGAGAGAGGAGAGTAAGAAGACGAATACAGAGGATCGAAGAGTGGGTCGGATTGTTGGTAACAGTCGGCGCAAGGAGAACACTGTAACCAGTTCACGTCGCTGCCAGTGTCGAGGACCATGTACACCTGACGAGGTGGATTTCCGATTCCGACACGCGAGAAGTACTCTCCACTTCCCTGGCTCGTGCCGGAAACCACCGGGCCGTTAATCTTCGCACCGCCGTCGCGTGTTTCGAGAGCCGCCGGCGACACGCGGCTGACGGCCAGATCAAGACGAGTCGTGAGAGATCTGACTCGGGCCGAGTCGCGCTCGAGCCGGGCCAGTGTGAGGGTCCTGTAGTCTCGGTGTTCATTTCCCCTGATCGAAGCTCGAGAATGCAGCTTCAAGCTAAGCGACGATGGAGGAAACTGGTCTTCTTCTTGCTTGTTCGACCGAAACGCCGTCGTTTTCGAGCTTAAAGACGACACGTCCTTGGCTGTCTGAATGGAGCCGACGACGTCAAGAACCGACATCGTTTTGGGGGTATCTGGTAAGATTCTACAGAGAACAACGGAACGTGAAGCGAAGAAGATGACGGAGAAGACGACGAGCTGAAAATGGAAACCCATCTTCGTTTCCGACCGTTTGAATTTTACAGTGGAGGAGAAGGAGAAGAAAAATGGGTTCTGCTTAAAGACTGTAGCTTTCATAAATAAATAAAAAAACAGAGAGAGGAAAAGGACGGTGCAATAAAACTTTTGTTTAAAGTAAAAAAAAAAAGGAAGCTTTGGAAATGGAGTTCTTAAAAAAAAAAGTTTGAAGGATTATTATTATTATTATTATTATTAATCGATTTGGTTTTAATGGCAATTTGATTCCATTCAGTTTTGTTATACGAGTACCAAATAAATATCAAAACATAATATTTTCACAAAAAATTATGCAGTTTAACTGTGAATAATTTGGTTGTTTGTTTGGTATTTATCAGATTCGGATATTTATGAATTAAGGATTTATTGGATCCTAAAAATTATACCAAATTAGTGGCACGGCAGACTTTAATCGTCATTTCCTTTGCTCATATTGCGACGTAACCAAAGATGAAATTCTCCACTGGTCAACTGGGTTCTCTGGGTCCCACACACTCGGATATTATTCGTCCACGTGGCATACGAAGGAATCAGAACCAATGAACCAAGGTTTAGAACTGTTCGCGTGCCCTCCACGCGCTACAAAATGCCATAAACCATCGGTCTTGGGCTCACGCTGGCCCATCCTTCACGCGATCTCATATCTGTATCCCCTCTCTCTCGGCGGCGACTGCGGATTCCGTCGCCGCTAGATTTCGCCGGCGTTGTTCTCCGACCGTAGCTTGTTCGTTTGTCGATCGACTCCTCAACCATGGGCTCGATTGTGCAGGTACAATCGATCGGTTTGGTCAACAAAATCGATCAAAACGAAACGTTTTCTCGTTTTCGGAAACGAATCGACGTCGAAGCTAATCTGGGTGTCTGATTGATTGGTTGATTCTTCAGGGGTTTACCAAGTCACTCGCCATGACTTTTCTGTCGGAGATTGGCGACAAGACGTTCTTCGCTGCTGCTGTAAGTGATGTTCTTGCATATATCTCAGTAGTAGCCATGTAGTGTAGAGATTTGGGGGTGAACTCAACACTTCAATAATTGCATAGGAAATTTGATCACTCGATCCAAAAGCTTTATGGGCAAAAATGCATTGCTTTTTCCTTGACAGCAATATGATTGACATTCGTCCATGCCGGAGAAAATTCCCTTTCCGTGATTATTGAATCGAACAGCTGAAATGGGCGTTTTTTTGACAATCTCCATGAAATTGTATAGTGTTGCTTGTTTGGTTGACATAGACACCTACTAGAATTGGTTCCTGTACCTGATTCAGCAATATCTGTCAACTTTCCTTTCTATTTTTGGAGAATCAATGGATGAAGGTCTATGATTTACACTCTTGTAGCCGCTGCTTTCTGGTTAATTCTAAGTTTTATGATATGGTGGTCTCCTTGAGAATGCATCATGCTTCTGCTAGCATCTTCCTTCTGATGCTAGTCTCTCTTTATCTGTCATCCTCTCTATTGTGACCAGATTTTGGCGATGCGTTATCCAAGAAGACTTGTGTTAGCCGGTTGTCTCACAGCATTGATTGTGAGTTTCTTTTCATCTTCTACGTTTTTTTTGGGTTGTATGACCTCTCTTCTACACTTGGAGGCTCATATCTTTGCCTATTTTAGGTCATGACTATTCTCTCGGCCCTCGTTGGAATGGCTGCTCCAAATCTGGTAAGACTTTGATTCTCTATCCATGAAATGCTTGTGCCTAGCAGTGCTTTGTAGGTCTAAATGCTGATTTGAATCCTGCTTGCAGATCTCTCGTAAATGGACACATCACATAACAACGTTGTTGTTCTTTGGCTTCGGTCTGTGGTCTTTGTGGGACGGTTTTAGAGAAGAGGGGTAATGCCTCTTTATTTTTTGCATGGGGATGAATATTTAGTTCAGAGCTTAGTTCTTTATATGAAATGACATTCGATTTCGTTTTTGTTATCAGAGACTCTGAAGAATTGGCTGAAGTCGAAGCAGAACTGGTTGGTTGTTCTTCTTGTTATGCCTTATTTTATGTTTACAGACTTAACCTTTCTGGCCTGACGCTTTTGTTATGTAATAGGATTCTGACTTGAAGAAAGGTGGAAGTACAAAAGAAAACAGCAAGGTATAGAAAAGAAAAATATCACAATTTACGATTCGGTGAGGATTTCATTATTTGTGCTGAAGTTTCCATCTTTTCTCTGACCTTGTAGGTTGAAGATGAACAGAAAAAGCAGAAAAGGCCATTTCTTACACAATTCTTCTCTCCCATTTTTTTGAAGGTAACAAAAGATTCTCAAAACTGCCAAAAAAAATGCAAAGAAGATAACTTTTATCGATCTGTTTCATCTTTTATCCTTTCTTTCAGGCATTCTCGATTAATTTCTTTGGCGAGTGGGGTGACAAGAGTCAGGTATCCGTCTTTTTTGTTCATCACATCATTTACCCTCACTTCCTCATTTCCACTTCTCCTACTCACCTTAACCCTTTTCCAGCTTGCAACTATCGGTTTGGCTGCTGATGAAAATCCGCTCGGTGTGATCCTTGGTGGAACTGTGTAAGTATCTCTTTGTCAACTTCTTCAATAAGTCTATTACCCATCACAAAAACAATGCTTCTTAGACAAAGTTTCGGTAGCCCTTCATATAATGCTGCTCACTATCATTGCTTACACACAGAGCCCAAATCTTGTGCACAACGGCTGCTGTCATCGGTGGCAAGAGCTTAGCCTCTCAGATATCGGAGCGAATAGTAATTAGCTCGTTGCCCTTTTCTTCATATCAGCAAACAATCTATGATTTGAGTAAACATTCATGAAATTCAACCTGAATCTATATGTCATTTCAGGTTGCTCTTTCAGGTGGAATACTTTTCATTGTTTTTGGCATCCAATCTTTTCTCTCCCCGGTCGAGCCCTGATGCTGAAATCCTCCAATATGGTAATTCTTCCCGTTCCCTGGCACGGTTTAAACGCGTAAATCCATTATGACACTTTTTGTGTGTGTGTAAATACAGGTTCTACCATTGGAATACTTCTTTGGTGAGAGCTGAATCTGAAGAACATTTCAGTCCCCAGGATTATTTAGATCTATGGCTTTAGATGTGGCTTAGATGTTTACACAAGTGATTGGAAGATTTGAGATATTTGGCTGAAGCATTCATATCAAGGAACTTGGCCCTTATCTTGACTTTGAAAATAAAGTTTTGTTCAGCAAGTGCATTACTTCCAAAGTCTTGAACTTGTATCAAGAAAGGCATAAAGATTGACACAACAGGATAACCTATGATTCATCTGTCACAACCACAGACAACGTATTTGCATAAAGCTGACAATCTAGTAACCCCCTGTTCGAAAATTCTTAACACAGGATATGTTTTATATATACATGTAAGGCAATTTCGACTAATAGAAGAGACTTGGGGAAAATTTCCAAGAAGGTTTCAGCAGCCGCCACCACTTGCAGGCTCAATGGAACTGAGAAGACCGTTACCCCGAAGCTGCATACAGTGTTCTTCTGCGTCGGCTTGAGCGCATATGATCACCACCGCCAAACCATTGTGATGTGCTTCCTGCATTATGTTCACCGCATTGTCCAGTGTCATTCCCGGTATCACTTTCATCAGGACCTGCACCACGTATTCTCTCCTGTTGAAATTGTCGTTGTGTAGTATCACTCGGTATGGCGGGGCCATCTTCCTCGATTTCCTGCATTTGCCATTGCGATTAAGCACTTGCCAAATCATTTGTATGTAGAAACCCGTTATATGATTAGTCTGGTATGGACACATTTAGCCAAGTTACATTACTCTACATGCTTCATAACATATCCAAAATGTTGAAGGGTGTGACAGAGGATGACAAGCTATGAAAACATTAAAGATCTTGCCTTTTATATCAGACACTAAAATCAGATTGGTGAGAGCTAACCTCAAATCAAACTCGGATTCACGGCCAGGGGTGGTTTTCTCTATGACCGGTTTATCCAACAATCCGCCCCCTTTACCAACTGCGGATGCACATAAGGACATGACGAATCCATGATTCCCACATGGTCCTTTATAGAGTGAATGTTTCTCTCCTGGACAAGCATTAAGGAAGTTCAACTGGTAAATCGGGACATTTAACATCTGTCTCACCCGAGTTCGAATCTCAAGGAGTTCGAATCTCAAGTTTGGGGAGGGTCATTCACGTGGGGCTTCCCCGATCCGTGAGATTAGTTTGGACTTCGGGCTTCAACCATACCCAGCCAAAAAAAAAAATACTATAAATGATCTTCACCTATATATACACACACATATACATTGCCACTTCCAGCATTATCTCTATGACCTCGGGCTAGGCAGAATTCGTATGAACTACTGTGCACAGTAACGAACCCAGAAAGAATTGCTGCACTGAAGCAGAACCACAGATGAAGATCATTTCAAAACCAGAATAAAAGGACAAAAAAAACCACAAAAACAGAAAGGTCTGAATAATTTTTTTTAAAGGAAATTAGAAAACCAACATCGTACGACCAATTCAAATCGCTTAACGATCAGGAATCCCATAACCCTTTTCTTAATCCATTGATTTAATCGGGTTTTGAGCTCAAGCATTTTCAGTTCTTCCCGGTAATTTCCCCAAGACCCGAAATTCTGCAATTGCCATTTGGCACGGCAGAATCACACCCACAAATAGTAAAAGTGCGCACACAATCAAGCTTCGAAATTCAAGTCGGAAACCCATAAAATTACCGAGTTTTAGGGGGATGGAAATGGATTATTACAGAAGATAAGAGTTCGTGATAATTGATAATCCAATGGAACAAAGAGACGGAAGAGGAGAAAACCTGGTTTGGAATTGAAGACGGTGCTTGGCGAGAGAGCTAGTCTCCCACATATCGCACTCTCCATGCCCCTCTCTCTCTCTCTCTCTCTCTCTCCCTAACTTTCTCTCTCTAAAGCCTCCTTGTATCTTGCCGAGTGGCTGGTTCTCGACGCAGGAAATTGGTGGTTATGGAAGAAAATCACGTATAGGCTCTGCCTTAAAACGTTGCGTTTTGGTATTGTAATTTTTACACCACGGCAACCACAAACAGATTTTTAAATATATATATATATTCATGTTTAAAATATGTTTTTTTATCAAGAAATTGTTTTTTTTTCCATGGGTGGCGCGAGCGAGGTAAACGAAAAGTTTTTTGTGTATATTTTTAAGAAAAAATCTATAAAAATATCAAAATTCATCTAAATATACCAAATAAATGTCTCAATTTCTAAAACATCAAATAAATATCCCAATTTAGTATATGTTTAGAACAAATTTGATATCTATTTGGAACAAATTGACACCATCCTCAATTAACAACATCGTCAATTCGGTATTTATTATATGATACAAATGAATTAAATAGGTATTTATTTAGTAATTTCGAAATCGAATTATTTACATGCCACAGATATTTTATAAAAAAAAAATCGTATTTTTAAATGTTTATAAAAACATTATAACAAAAAAAATATTATTGGGCCTGATCAGGCCCAATTATCATATCAACGAGGTATAAAATTTTGTTGGGCCTGACGTGAAGGTTGAAAGCATGACCAAATCCAAAATCCAGCTTTTTTTTTCCCCTTGATTTGCTATGGCCCAATAGAATGAGTACACTTGCAATTTTTTTTTTAATATCAAAACAAAAGATAATGAGTTTATTGATGAAAATTGAAAACATGGAATATTATAACTATTCCAAAAATACTCAACTTGGCAATATATATATATATATATATATATATATATATATATATAAATATATATAAAAACATATATTAAGTATAGAAACTATAAGTAGAAGAATCCGCAATGATGTTCCTAAGCCCTCCGACCGTAGACGCCACCATGATGAACAGTCCAATGAATATCGAAACCTGAAAAATATGAGGCGAGGAAATAATTAAATACAAAGTAAGATTATTATATATTGCTTGTATTAAAAGAAATAAAAAGGGTTCATATATATATATATATATAAACTGTTAAATTACCCAATTGATTAACCATGTGATGCTGAGTCTCTTTGGTTTCTTGATTATGAGCCACATTATACTTGGGAGCTGCAACCACATCAGATACATTTTTTTTTATCATCATACCATCAGGTATAATCCTATATATACACATATATATATATGTATGTATATATGATAAAATTCAAAGATATGATGACTTACAAAAAAGGAAGTGGGAGCAAAACCAAACCCTCCAAAGAAACCAAGAAGGTCCCCAAAGAAAGGGAATGTGACCGCAACGAACAGTGTAAATGCTGTCGACCCAAAAAAAAAACGAGTTTCAATATATATATATATATATATATATACACACACATCGGTTCTTCCCCTTAATTCAATAGAATCACATTATTTTATGATATTATATTATATTCATTGATAAAACCGTAAATTGAAAAAATAGAGGCGGGGGTATACATGACGTACCCACGTAAATGGACCGAGGGAACAATCTTAGAACCAAACCCGGCGAGAAATTGAATCTCTTCACCATCACGCCCTCCAACAGATCAAACACCGGCATAGCAAACACCTGTAAGGCACTTGTATAAATTTGGACCGTTTGGACCATGCTTTATATAAACCTAAAACAATTCATTCATGCCCTAAAGAAAATACCGAAATCTTGTGATATATACGTACAGGTAATCAAGATATATGCCCGCATGTCTGTACTTACTATATATATATATATATATGTTATGTACCTGATAGCTGCCGATGACGTGGACGACCACCATGAGGTTAGCAGAAGCGATGAGCCAATCGGGTCGTTGGAGATTCAACAAGACATTGTCGTCGACGTCTTGTCCGAAGACCCAGTAACATATTAGAGCCACCGGAAAATAACAGATGGCGTTCACGAAATAGGCGCCGATGACTCCATGCCACATCGGAACCCTGGATGGCTTTTCCGGCGAAGACGGCATCGTCGCCTGAATCTCGAGCGCGACGGCGTGTCCGGCGAAGGCGAAGGAGATTTGTCCGAGAGCGTTGAAGATTCTGAATATGGAATCCGTAGGGTTTGTTCTTCTGTATGCGTAGCTCACGTCCGGGATCCTGCCACGTGTCAGACTCCCCACCCATGCGATCGTCGAGTAGCTACACATCATCGTCATTAATTTATATATATATATATATATTATATACATAATGTGCATAGAAGTTGTGGAGACGACTTTACCTGAGGGACATGACGGCGGCGGCCAAGGAGACGCCGGCGACGGAGTTGAAGTTGGGGAGCTGAGACAGGAAGAAGTGGACCCCGCCGAAGATCAGTATCCAGTAGGACTGTCTGATGTCCGCACAGCTGCCGGAGCAGGTGATGTCCACGAACTTCTTCAGGCACTTGCCACCTGTCACCATGTACACTATGTTGCAACCCACCTGGACGATCAGCTGCTGCGGAAGTACGATCCATGGGCCGAGTTTTGGGCCGAAAGCGAACCGGCCCAAATCGATGTACCGGTCGAACCGGGTTCCCGGTACGCATTCGTGCAGCTGTACCATTTGCCACATCGTGTTCAGGGTCATGCCCCATGCCATCACCAGCACCATTGTTCCTGGCCCCCTTACAAAAAAAAAAAAGAAAAAAAAAAAAGAAGAGACCTTTAGGTTAAGAAATAACTTAATCAATTTTTTTTTTCTAGTTACAAGATTAAATTCGGTGAGCTAGCTAATTAAAACACTAGTACACCATGTACAAAGTCTGCATATGTGAAATTGTAAATATATAAAAAATACCCCAATGGAAAACAAAAAAAGGAGGGGGTTACCAGCCAAGGAAAGAGATGGCGGAGGGGAGGCTGAGAACTCCGGCGCCGATCATGGCGGGGGCGGGGGGGGGAAGGTAGAGTACCACCACTTTGCCCTCCTCTTCCCTTCTCCCTCCCTCCATTTTTCACCTCCCTTCTCCTCTTTTTCCTGACCAAAACACAAACCTATTTAAATATTAAGATATATATATATATATGTGTGTGTGTAGAGAGAGAGAGAGAAGAAGAAGAGACCTTGGGAGGAGGAGGAGTTGAGGAAGTGGAGACCATTGAGTCCTTTTGCAGAGGAAGTGAAGCAGTGAGTCTTGTGTTGTTTCCCCCTATACAATGGGAGCTTCAAGCTTTTAAAAAAAGGTGGTAAGTTGAACCTTTTTTTATATTTAGTATATAATAATTTCCAAAAAAAATATACTGCGGAAGGCCACTTGTTGGGCTTGTATGTATGTATGTATGTATGTATGTATGTATGTATGTATGTATGTATGTATGTATGTATGTATGTATGTATGTATGTATGTATGTATGTATGTATGTATGTATGTATGTATGTATGTATGTATGTATGTATGTATGTATGTATGTATGTATGTATGTATGTATGTATGTATGTATGTATGTATGTATGTATGTATGTCTACTTAGAATACTATCATTAGCCGAGTCTAAATCTATATATAAAGAAAAGACTAAGAAGAAAGAAAATAAAGGAGTGAGGGTAGCCCACCACCACCAACAACCACCAATGAGTTAAAAGTGTTCATTGAAACTATAATAACACATGAAAAAGTGAAAACAAATGAAACATAGCTTTTCATTTTATATTTACACAATTTGCCTAATTGCTTTTCAAAAGTTCCACTTAATGATGCATTATCCCAATATTAAGAGCAAAACACACACATACAAAAAAAAAAGGGTCTCATCACAATATTTAAGCATATCTTCATGTAATTATTAAATTTTTTTTGTTTAGAATTTTGGATTGGATTGGATGGACTCGAGATCTTAACTCAAGATTGGTGGGTTGGTGAGAATTGGGACTTAGAATTCATTCCATACATCATGAAAGGTGGAATCATATATTATAAGAGCAACTCAACAGCTTTAAGGAAAAGATTGAATTGACATGTTTGAGGAGTTGGTGCTAAGGACACTCAATTATGTGAATTGTTTTGGACCGTAGTGTCATGTGAGTTTGATGGATGAGACCCACCAGCTCGAGAAAAGACAGCAGCAGAGGGAAATTTTCATGTTTTTGTGTGCTTGTTTGCCTCTACACCATCTTTTGTGAATTTGCAAATTCCAATTTCAATCTTGCTATTATGCGCCCAAAGCATTTGTTCTTCAGCCTTTTTTTTCTTTCAAGAATGCAACTTCTAGAAACTTCCGTACAAAGCCTTCCTGAAAGTCCTGTGGATTAGTGATATCCCATAGCTTTTTTCCGAGGGGGAAATACTTTGAAGATAAATTATCCATAGCCACAAATGATACATTTGAAAGGATGATTTTTCTCCAAAGCTTAAGAATGAACAACAACAGAAAAGAGTCAAAAGTATAAACCTGAAAGAGGAGGGGTTTAACCCAAGAAGGCAGGACCGGGGATGTTAGGTGGAACTTGGGATCTAACAGGGACTTGGCCGAAAGACTGAACACCGCCCATCACCGACCCGACCATTTGCTGCGGCGGCATCTGTGACTGCTGCTGTTGGAGGTGGTGCTGCAGCTGAGACAGCGGTTGCTGCTGCTGATGTTGGAACTGCGAGAGCTGCTGCTGATGGAACTGCTGTAGTTGTTGTTGTTGTTGTTGTTGTTGGAGCTGAGATAGCTGCTGCTGCTGCTGCGATTGTGATTGTTGTTGTTGTTGCTGCTGATGGAGCTGCGGCAGTTGTTGTTGCTGGGTTTGCAGCTGTTGCTGGAGTTGCTGCTGCTGCTGTTGCTGTTGCTGTTGTTGTTGCTGGCTCGGGATTTGCGGCTTAAACACAACCATATCCTGTTAAACCCGCAAAAATTCAAGCGAGACGAACACGGAGCTCAGTTTTCCATAGCTTCTGACGACATTATATCGAATCAACAACTAAGAAATGAAACGTGAGATGCACAGATGGAGGACAGACTAATTGATGGGATGCCTTTTTGTCATTTTCATCTCAAAGAAAACATTTAATAGAGAGACAAAAAAATCTAGAACACTTGACAAGAAATTAAATAAAATAAAAAAAAGGAATAATACTCACTCACCCCAGGGAAAAGCATTCCAATCAAGCGGCAAGCTTTGTCGGACACTGATAGCAGTAATGTCTGCGACGGTAGTTGGATTACTGCACACTGCAATTGAGGTTTTGAATAAATATTTTCATATTCAAATCCAAATTTGCAACAAGCATGCATGGAATTGCACCCATAATTACAACCAAATCCATGTTAATACTATGAAATCTTCCATGTTAATATCGACAACCATGTATTTGATTTGACAAACTTAGCAAAAACGGAAGAAACGCCAACTGGAAAAAGGAGATAAACTAGAGTGAAACATCAAAGACACACTTACAAGCTTCTTTTCCTGAAGTTGTCCTAAAAATCCATGTTGACTCATGGCCCGGAAAACTAGGAAATCAGCTTTACCAACGTACTGCCTGGTGCAAAAGTTAGATGAGCGTATCAATGACAAGAATATTAAATCAATCTATGATGAGCTCGCAGAGATTTCCAGAAAGCTTTCGGGCATTACTTGTTGTTCATATGATCTTGGGATATGAGACGAACTATCTGCATAGTTGGTGGCCAATTGGCTGCCAACCTGGGAAGACCCACAAAAAATGGGAAGACACGATTTGGTGATGGTGAATAGATAGATACATGTAATTTCCAAAACAGAGATGCAATCGTAACCTCTCATTTGTTCTTGTGAAGAGGGGGTAATAACGGAGAAGTTTTGGAGTTATAAATACAGATTATGGACTGGTAAAAAGAAAAAGATATGAACTTACGAGTCAGATGCAGAAGCGCTTCTGTAACCCTGTAAAATTTAAACAAAAGACATTACTATTTTGCTAGGTTAAACTTGCGATGAAATGCGGGAAAGGAAAAATGTGCTTAAGCAAGTACTGTTATGTGGCAAAGAAACAAAAGGGGTACCATAAATACACACACCTCAAGCTTGGTGATAAGAACAGGCTGTCCTTGCCTTTGCCCAGATAAATTTCCCTGATGAATTTGGAAATGTGAGATTTACACATAGAATCGCAGCATTTCAGATTTAGAAAACTGACTTACCTCCCAGACTTTCACATATTTGGATTGCGGATTCTGCATAGCACCCGACGATTGCTGCGACAACTGCATATTACTAGCTGAACTGTTACTGACACTAAGCGGCTGTGTTCCTGATTGCACTTCCTGGGAAAATCCTGGTATAGGCATCATTGAACCAGTCCCAGAAGAGGCATTAGCTTGACCAAGACCACTCATCAAGTTTTGGCTCATCACTATTCCACCTGGAACCATTTGTGCTCCAGGATGACCTCCTTGGTTCATTCCTGGCATCGATTGAGGAACACCAATGTCCAAACTTCCAGAAACATTGGCCATTGGAGAACTATAGGAATTAGGACCTGAACTTTGTCCCACTTGCGTAGTCCCCATAAGAGTGCCTGAACCAGGCACTGAAGTAATTCCCTGTTGACAAGATGAAATAACAGTTTGTGAAGGCAAAGAAGATGGAGGAAATCCAGTGGATATCATATTCGACATATGCATAGCCACTGCACTTTGCCCAACCGATGAAGTTGCCCCAGCAAGAGCTGCAGAGCTCATGACTTGCCGTAATTGAGATAGATTGTTCAATAGATTCACATTGGCTCCACCAGCATGCAGTGGCTGAGGCATCCCACCAACAAAAGGTTTGATATCTTGGACACTCTCAGCATTTGAGACCATTTCTTGAGAAACTGGAGATGCTGAAGATGCTTGCATTGCAGGTATTGCTTGTGTTGTAGGATGAGCAACAGATGAGATACAGGGGAAACTTGGATGGGAGGCCATGGAAGTTACAGTGCTAGGTTCCTGAATAAATCCAAATCCAGTGTAACCCACTTAATGATTTTTTTATATATAAATAAAACTACCTCTTCTCCAAGTAAAACGAAAAGATCACAGTGACTTACCACTTTAACAGTAGCATTAGGTATGGCTCCAACAGAAACTGATTGCCGGGTCAGAACGGATCCATTTGCTGAGAAAAAAGGATAAAGACGTTTTGACAATGAAAAAAGATGAGATATAATTTTTAAAAGAGCCACGACCAATGTTAAAATAGGCCCGGTTAGTAGATGAATAACCTGATGCAACAGGAGCTTGTGGTTGCCCAGTAACAGGAGGTGGAGCAATTGTAGTCCTGTCCACTTTCAAAGGGCTCTGGATCTGTGGCAGATTTGTTGCAGTATGGCTTAAAGCAGCACGTGCCTCCAAAAAATTCTCCGAGATTAGGACAAGATAGAATGGGTTCTTAACAGTTTCAATTGACAGGTCTGCGCCTTGTGGATTGAACTTCCCCTGCATCGAAAAAGATCTCATCAAAACCTCCGAAAAGTAATCTTTCATCAACATGTAGATTTTACAATGATTGCAGCCTTTGTTCTTGTTACAGTTCTTGAAACGGTAAGCTTGAAAGGGGTAAGTTGGAAATAAGGGTTTACGATAGATGCATACTAAATTAAACAAAAATACACATGCAGGTGCACATTTCAGCAGTCTCACCGCATTGTATATCGCTCTGATCTTTGGGAGCTGCTTCGGACAAATGACAGACAGAGAAACAGAACACTGCAATCGATATGACAGGTTAGTCATTTCCCATTTGAATACAAGTATTATTGATCATAATTTCGAAAGAAAAATAATCACAAAAAGGGTACCCTAGAAAAATATTTGGCCACTGTCTCTGCATCTGACAAACGGCTTTCAGACTGCACTTCGCCATTTTCACCCCTTTCCACATTTTGCAACTGTGGGCGAAAGACTGGTGTTGGCAATGTGTGAGGGTTGCTGGCCGCAATTAAGATACAGTGCCTTTTGAAGTCATTACTCGGTTGAGCTTGGCCTGAAGGAGGAGAAAACATCTGCATCATCAAGTCGGAAGAGAAATGTGAAATTTAAGAACAGAAAAATTACTGACACAACACGCTATGTAATGATCCCCTGTACCACCACCACAAACAAACAAAGAAACAAACAAACAAGATAAACATAAATTCCCAACCGAGAAAAAATTAGCCTCACTAGAAAACCACAAATCTAATCAAAAGATACTTTCTGGATTGTCTTTCAATTATATTTAATTCTAACTATATGTTATAATGGTAAAGGTATCCCCACCATCAATGCTTCAGCAAGCCCTTCAGCTGTGGCAGCCTCATTGAAACCGCCACCAGAAAATTGTATCGAAGACAGCCATTGTATAAACATATCAATGTTTCTTGTCCAACCACTCCTTTGTACCAGACAAGCTGAAATAGGTAAACGACACAACCAGACCGATGAAACTCAGTAGAAATACAGCAACATCTATAGCTGTAACATGTTATAACCTTCTCAAAACTAAATGATAAGCAACAGAGCCATGAAAGGTATCTAATAAAAAGTTTGCATCGCGATATCAAGAAGATGGAGCAGAATATATACCACAATATGAACCATGGGAATTAAAGGTGACCAGCGATAGCTCAAAGTTAGAAGCAGGAACCCTCTGCAATTTTAGCGAAGTCATCAATGATCACCTCTAAGAAATCAAACTCTCTGCTTTCTCTCCAGCTTTTAGAGTATTGAGAGAATTTGATGGCAATCAGTGTTGACCAATTAATGCATACTCAATCACTGATTTGAACAAGTAAGAGACCACGAAAAAGAAGTATTGAATACTCTTCAGCTAAAGAATGGAAAATTGCATTCACATGATGAAAGAGTAGAAAGACAGATATGGTACCTGTCCATTCTCTATGTCACAGAAGGACCTACACAAATGCGGAGAGGCCATTAATAATAGATAATGGGAATATCCATAATTCCAGACAGAGAAAATAGTTGTCCAAATGGTTTCTAGATATACCCTTGATATGCATTTACAATTTTCAACGTTTATAACAACAGCAATTTCACATAAAGCTGCACAGACTGAACTGAACAAAACCATTTACACTGAACACAATGATTACAGTGAAGAGAGTAAAGACAGCGGAAGTCTGAAGGAAATATAGAAGGAAAATGCAGACCTAACAATCCCAACCAAGTAGTCCAGCATAATGGTGTTCCAGAAGGGACTCATCTCTGCAGACACCTCAACAACGACAACGAGCTGCTTCATATCCATAATGATCTAACCTATGTTTCGAACAGTATTATGAGGTGCTCTTATAATTATAGTTGGTGAAGACAAGGTAGAGAGTGTAATTGTAAAATACTTCATTTGGAAAGAGAAGCCAACTTTTTCTTTCCGGATACGCCCACTTATTATCTCCAAGATTCTCCAGATCTTGAACTAAATGTGCTTTAAGAACGAAATCTTACAATAAGATCTTGCTATGTTCCTTGACATTATGAACAGCCTACTAATGCTTGATTACAATTTCAAAAAAAAAAACGGTTGTGATGTTTTGTATTTTCTGCTAAAAAAAGGCGCAAAGCTACAAATACCATGCATAGAAGCTTTTATTTGGATTATGAATAACTTACTCGGTAACTACGATAGTGACACCCCTTGATTAACAATAAGAAATCAAGCAAACCATGTAGTAAGTAACAAACGCAACATGCTTAGTATGCCGCCAATTTTTGGATATGTATACACATGAGTGACACACAGGAGAACAGTTGACATTGCATGCAGTGATCGGGCAGATATGCCCATAAAAAGATCATCCCAAAAAGTGGTATCTAAACAATTTCCCTAGGTTGAACTGGACAAAACAACTTAAGTAAGCTCTTTCTCTAGGATTTACGGTTTAAGGTTGCTGGAATCGGTTCCTGGTTCTCCGACGCATACCTAAACTCATAGTTCTTATTCAACTAGGAAATGTAATATCATCATTTCTTTTCCTTCCCAATACAACCTAATAACCAGGGGGGAAAAAACTTCATGCCTAACAGAAAAACTCCGGGCATCTCTAAGTTTGGAATGACACCTTCAGGGGAAGCATACTAATTACGGCAAAAAACCATACTGCCACGTTCAAATCTGAAAGTATATTCAAAGATCCAACAAGCGATATGGCAGTGGCCAATCAGACAAAATAGCTAGAACCTGTTTGCATCAGACATAGATAGATCTGAGCCTAAAAATAACATACATTACAGAGGAATCTGCTAGTTCTATGGGATGTTTAATGACACCTAATAACTTAAAAATCACAGTGATCCCTGTGAGTAATCCATTGTATGTCGCGACCATTTTGTGGCTGGAAGAAGAAACTAGAGCTTACCACACTAAAGTGTCTTGTGTCGAATTATTTGCACCTCACACAGCATCCAGAGCACGTAGAATAACTAATATAGAGAATGTGCACAATGATTCATATCCAAATGCGGTGGAAGACCAAATATCAGGACAGCAAACAATATCATCCGAGAACCACGTATGTGATCAAAGCAGATCATTAACACAGTAAATGGATCAAATTTAGTCCGAACCTCGTTGTCCTCGTGAACAACAGAACATTGCACTTGTATAAACAGTCTATAACTAAACTCGAGACCCAAAAAATTTCGACGGCGTCAACTCCGGCCCACGATCAGAAACCCTAACTTAGAGCAAGTAACAACCGGAGCAATGGAGAAGCGAAATCGAAATTAGGATGGGGACAGGAGAAGAGTGAAAAACCTGATGATCTTCTCGAGATAATCTGAGACGATGGTCTGCCAATAGGGACCCAATGCGGCAGTGCCTTCGACGACGACGGTCAGCTGTTTATCCGCCATAACCAGAGCTTCGAACCTCGGACAGCGTCGATCAGGGAAACCAGAAAGACGAAGCCTCTTTTGGAGGTCTTCGCTCTAAGTCATCGCCCGGAGTTGAAACTTCCCCGAATGAGGAAATTTCAACTTTTCTCAGGAAAAGAACCGATCTTCTCGCAAAATTCCCTCTTCTCCGACATCGAAGAAACAAAAATAAATTAAAAAAATAAAAAATAATATATTATAAGACTCCGTCAAATACGGTAGTAACGTATGGTTAACGGTTCACACGTGGCAAACGGAAAAGTCCACGTGTACACCGTCTTCCAACTTATCTACATGTTTTTTTCTCTCACTCAGTGATATCACTCTAAAGCTAGGATCTGTTTTTATTTAATTAATTGGTAATATAACATAATCAAACTAGAATTATGACACATAAGATTCGATGGTATGAGCTAAAAAAACATGGACCCACCATTTTTCAGCGTATTAAAATCATGCAAAACTATATAATATATATCATCATCATAAATGGCCATGCCCTAAAAAAATCTCGATATATTTTCGCATTTCATATGGTCAAATATAAGGTGGATGGTGTGATTTAAGGACCCCATCAAAAATTTATTTATTTTTAACTCTTCATCGAGTGAAAATCATGACAGTTAAAGATTGTAAAAACGAAACAATGAGACGACGCGCCAAGGCGCGTGAGGTTGGGAGAGTGATACAAGGATGATCATGTGTTGAATCTCACGCTTCCAAATGATCTCTCTTATTTTTATTATTATTTAATTTAGCTAATTAAATTCTTTTTTTTTGGAATTTAGTAACGGTTCTATTTGTTCTCGTGGTTCACACTTTGTTCCAAGTTCATTTTCTAATATTTACCCCAATTGTCCCTTTTTTGAAACAAATGGAAATTCACACTTTGATAACTGTTGCTTATATTTGGATATTTTGATTAGTTTAATATTGCAATAATGTATTTCAAAAAATTATGATTATTTGATTTTAAAAATAAAACTCGTCAATTTAATCAGTTAGGGCAATGTACAGCCAAAAATCCACTTATTTATCTTCGAAATCTCTTTTTTATAGGAATCCAAATATTCTGAATTTCTGTTTTGTCTTTTCTATTTTTAGACCGAAATCTCAAAGGGGCCGTTTGGGCACAAGGAGATGAGAATCTTATCCTAATTTTACTAATTATTCGTTTATTTATCAATACATATATTTTTACATTATCGGTAATTGGATTTTTACTAAAACGGGGAGTGAGAAAAAATCGGAGGAAGTGTAATAAATGACGTCTTCGATCTTATCTGAAACCGCTGCTGACGTCATCGCAGCCCACTCGCCCGATTGCGACGAAAAGCGAATCTCTTCCCGAATATTCACGCAGAAGCTACACGAAATTACTGTTTTACCCCTAAGGTTGTCATTTATTGCAAAAAGCATGAGAGAGAGATTCGTCTTTTCGGTACGCGACGCCCCGACCTCGAGATCCCTCTCTCTCTCTCGCTCTAGAAATCTTCCGACTTTTCTTTCTTTTCCCCATTTATTTCGTTTTTTTTTTGTGAGCTTCGAGTTTATTCCGTCTTCTGATTCTTATTTAGATCCCATATTCTTCTCTTCCCCAACCTGCTTCTTCCTCGTCATCTTCTCCCCCCCCCCCCCCCCCCCCCCCC